TCTCATGCAACTGGTGTATCATAGTATAATGCAACACTCTTCAAAAACCATGTTAAGACCATTTGTTTGATCCAAATTTTAAAATATACACTCTTTTCATTCGAATGAACAATCACAAAAAAGGAAATTTTGAAAACACAACTTAAAAAATATTTTTTTACCTGAATTAAGATAGGTCGTTCAATTTGATAGATGCTTAGATCTAGGTCTTAGAAGGATATTTTCTTTTCCAATCTTTTTAGATGCCTTTACTATCACTAGATGAATAGTATTAAAAAAGAAAAAAATGATTTTGAGTATGTAAAATCTAAGATCTTGAAATTCACCAAATGAATGGTCTAGATTCAATGTTGGAGGGGGACTCATTTTGACCATATCTAGGGTTCAAATCAAACTTTTTTTTTTTGGGATTCATTATCGAGATGAAGAGAGTGTGTGTGCAAAATTTTGTGTCACAAATACCACAAACATGGTTTTTAAGAAGTGTGGTTGCATTATACTATGATACAACCATTGCATTAAATCACTGCCCATATATATATATATATAAATATAAGCTTTCATTTAAATTGTCTTCTACCTTGACAATAAAAAGATGCAATCCCTTTCAACTGACATGTTCACTAAGTTTCAAATTGTTGCCATTATCATGCTATTCAGAAAGCAATACATGATATGTGGCTACCATCCTGGATGCTAATAACAATAAAAAAAACACAAGGTCAGTTCTAATTTAGTATATTGGCAATTTGCTCCCACTAACTTAATGAATGGTGATCACGAATACAATAATTGAATATTTATGTCATTAAACATTTTCAATGTTATGTCCACATGCACACAAGTATGACAAGATGCCAATGATAGTGGCTTGGATACCATGAGAACAAAAAGATAGCAAGAATATTGAGCACAAATAAATATCCATAAAACAAGTCACAATTAGATTAAATTTTTTAAAAAAAAAATTTGTGATCACCAATGGCCTAAACAAGATATTCTGCAACATCATACCAAGTATGCATGTGCTTCCCGAGCATGTTTTAATGCATAATCATCAAAAAAGGGAAAACAATCTCAGCACCAATAAGCACATATCACTGAATTTCAAATATGCATTAGGCATGATCATACAGAGAATTCAAAATCAAGCACTATATTTATGAAAAAATAGAACCAAATAATCATATTATCATAACATGCATAATTAACATAGTATGGTATTGAAATTAAATAGCAAAATCTTCCAACCCACTTCCATAACACACACACCCCTCTCCCCCCTACGCCCCCCCCCCTCCTCCCTCTCTCTCTCTGTTTTCTTTTTTTTTTATGTTTTTTTGACATCTAGATTGCAATACCACATGTTACAACAAGATCTAAAATGCCTCCTTTTTTCATATATTCCAGAAATCAATTAACAACGACAATATGATCAATACCTAATTTATTGCATGATGATCCATTGAATCTTTTTAATCCATTTAGGATCTGAGATTGAAAACAATTGATCATAAAAACAGTTTATAATAAATGTGGTTTAGATCTCACCGAGCCACTGTTTAATGGTATCACCATTGAAGTTGCTAGCGAGTTTCCAAAACATGGCCTGTGAATGCTTTTTCATGATATTGGTTATGGGAAAGCCAAGGGTGTTGATTAACTTCGACCGCAATGCCAGCAAATAGCCCGCACCAAATTTTTCTGTCTTTCCCTTTCCATGGGTTATCATGCACACCGATGGTTGGATTAAGGTGAACGCCTCCCATTTTAGATTTCATATCATGGAGCTTGGGAATGTTCAGGACCTTGGCGATGAACATGTCAAGGATGGATGCATTCAACAGCTTGTCATGTACACCATGGGCCATGAACCCACAACATGCCAGCATCATCTCCATGCCCATACCCATGCCCATCTCATAATAAATTGGAATTTGAACACATAGAATACATATCCCAAGGAGATGGATGCTGAGGCAATTTACTGCCAGCATCATCTCCATACCCATACCCATACCCATGCCCATGCCCATGCCCATGCCCATGCCCATGCCCATGCCCATACCCATCTCATAATAAATTGGAATTTGAACACATAGAATACATATCCCAAGGAGATGGACACTGGGGCAATTTACTGCTTGTTGAAGGGGATTCGAACAATGTTACTGCCTGGGCAAAGAGATTATCCCCCCTCCTCTAGAGATTGGAACAAAATTTTGACCAAGTATTTGAGATTCAAGCATATTGCAACTCTCTTTTAAGCACTTTTGTGGGAAGCAAATGCAACTGCAAAAGCCCTTGCAAAGAAAGGTGCCCCTGAACATAATGCTCGGATAAATAGACCTTAGCCATGACTAAGAAGTTTTGAATCCTTTTGTCTACAAACGACAATGTGTCGCATTTTCTGGATTGGATAGCACTACATGCAATATGTACATCCTTTATACTTACTCAAGTAGCCATTATGCAAAAAGAAATGAAAATAGAACAAGAACTTCAACTGTGAACGCTGCCACAATGAAAACCACAAACTCAGTATCAGGTTATTGGATTTCGGTACTTCAACATATAACAAACTGAACAGTTGCTAAAAAACTATACAACAAACAGAACTAAATTAGAAGTCTACAAACTCCCAATGGATAAAAAAGAGTTCATTTCTATGCAACTGTTATTGAAATACATTTACAAAATTCGAACATAAAGTTGCGGATACGTTGTATAGATAATTCTCCGATGTTTCAAGTCTTTATACATAGTATATAAGAATAAGAAAGCTCTTCAAGTTAATCTTACGCATATCTTTCCTTTGTAGCCACATCTGGTGATTAATGGTACCTAATTATTCTGAACTATCCGGTGATCCTTGGTACTTAAATATATGAACATGCTGAATTCATGAGTTGACAAGTTCAGCTGAACCAGAATGCTTTGTTTCTACAGAAGTAAGCTGAGATAAATTGCAACAAAATTTTCAACACAATTTCATAGAAACTTGCTGAATCTGTACATATCTACTTTCTGGCTAGCCATTTCATGTCTTGTTTATATTTTTTTTAATATATGTATATATATATATATATATATATAAACAAGGCATGCAATGGCTAGCCAGTTCATGCCTTGTTTATAGCAATCCGAAAACTCGCCGTGCCACTTTTGACAATGGTTCTCTCTTTCCTGGTTCCACATTTATTCTCTTTTCTATATCTAGACCATTACGGATTTCTTCTTTGCTCACTTCATGAAAGAATGATTCGTCAATACCTTCCAGTGACTCTATGTTAGCATCTTCATTCAAATACTTGTGCTCTTCAAGTGGTGATTGCTGTGTGTGTTCCTCAATCTGCACACCTGTTTCTTCACATGCTTCCTCCTCTATCTCTAAATCCTCTCCAATATCTTTTTCAACCACTGCACTAAGTAATGGATCAGGGATCTCCTCCGCTGAATCGCTTGAACTACCTTCATCACAACTCTGTTCCTTGTCTTCAGTGAGAGAATGCACTCTAGCTTTCTCTAACTGCAGCTCCGAATCCGTTTCTTTTCGGGAGAACCCATTATCAACAAAAGAACTGCTGTTATTTCTTCTCAGCCTTCCATGCAATTTGTCGAGTGTTCTCCATGTTACAGCATCAGGCTCAAGACCATTCTTTCTCATCTCCGAAATCAATCGATAGGCCTCTCTCTTCAACCCCAAATTGCAGGCGCTATTAATAAGGATGTTGTAAGCCACCAATTTAGGGGAAACTCCACTGTCCACCAGCTCATATAGGAAATTAATGGCTTCGCTAAATTTACCTACTTTGCACATTCCTTTGAGAATAGCCGCATATACAAAATCATCACTAACTTTGGAGGGCCAGACTACAGCTTCCCAAAATCTCTTAGCCTCCTCTATTTGACCCATATTGCACAAGCCAGCAATAAGTATGGCGAAGGTGGTGCCATCTGCTTGCACTTTCTCTCTCATCATCTTAGCAAAAAGCTGCATTGCTTCATCTATCTTTGAGAATTTGCATAAGCCACGAAAGATTGCATTGTATGTTACAGTGGTTGGTTCAAAACCTCTCTTTGGCATATTTTGCAGAAGCTCAAGAGCTTCATCTGTTCTCCCCATATCAGACAACCCACATATCACAGTAGTAAAAGTCACAACATCAGGAACACATACATTCCCCTTAACCATATCATCCAAGACTTTCATGGCCTCATCAACCCTTCCTGCCTCGCAAAACCCATGAACCACAGTGTTCAGAGTAACCACATCCGGCTTGCATCCACTTTGGAGCATTGAAACCAGTACATTGAGGAGTTCACTTGGGTTATTGATGGAGCACAAAGCTCTAAGGAAAATATTATAAACTCTGGATTCCTCCAAATTGCTCTTCTTCAACATGACATCTACCACGCTTCTAGCTTTTGCTACGTCCTTTACTTTACATAAACCTTCCACCAAAACCTTGTAAGTAGGCTCAATTGGCGTGTAATCGAATTCGATTCCTTCTTCAAATAACTGATAAGCTCGCATAATGCTTCCCTGCTTACTCAAGCCATGAACAATGGAGTTATAAGAAACGAAACTGGGAAGGAGCCCTCTCTTCTTCATAATATAGGTTATTCTTGAGGCCCCATGGTTTTGATCGGCTCTAGAGAGGGAATCAATCATCTGAGTATATGAAAAGTCTGCATTGACATGCTTGCCGTGAGGCATTTCCTCTGCAATGTTATAAACTTCACTGAAGAAACCTTCCCTGCATAGAGCTTCCACCAAATTAGCAAATGCTGCTGTGTTAATGGAAGGATCTCTCTCTACATCAATGGCCATTTGTTTCCATAGCCTACCCATAAGCTCCCTTCCTATCTCATCAAGTTTGCCCTTCTGAAGCACCCCACTTAGAAGAACACTGTAAGTGAGAGAGTTGGGCCGAATTTCTCTCTCCTTCATTTCATCAAACAGCTTATAAGCAACATCCATCTCCCCAATTTTGCAGAATCCATTGATCAAGGCCGTATAAGAAACAGTGTTAGGACAATGGCCATGTCTCTCCAACTCCATGAACAGCTCTCTAGCCTCATGGGGCATGCGATGGTCACAAAAGAGGCTCATAAGCCTGTTATAGTTAGAGAGAGAGGGGACAAATCCAGGCTTAGAAATGACCATTTGGGTCATGATCTTTCGAGTGTCAAAGGGCGATGAAGCTTCGCAAAGCCGAACCAGAAGAGAGTTGCATGCTCTCTCATCAGGTAACCAGTTGGAGTGGAGAGCAAAGAGGAGGCGATGGTGGGCTTCGCGGAAGCGATGAGAGTTGCAGAGAGAGTCAATGAGAGAGAAAAGAATGGGGGAAGTGGGACGAAATCCATTGAGGCGGAATTGGTCGAGGAGATGGAGAGCTTGATCGATGTCTCCTGCATCGAAGAGAGCTTGAATAGTTTTTGACCAGTTGGGTGGTTGGTTTAGGAGAGCAATGGTGTTCTTCTTCTCCTCTGGTTTGTTGAAGAGGGGGAGTTGTGGAGGGAGGTGGGTGGAGAAGGAGAGAATAGAGAGAGAAAATGTGGGTCTCAGAAGGCGTGGGAGAGAGAAAGGGATGAGTGCCATGGCCTCCCATCATCGGGCTCTCTCTCCCTTCCTCCCAGTAGCAAACAATCTCTCTCTCTCTCTCTTACGATCAGTCGGTCTACGTGTGGCCTTGCACCATGACCCGGGAACCGACGCGTGTACCGGATCTCAGTTTGGCTAGGGATTTAAAAATTGGACCCGACAAGTCTAAATTTTGTACCCGAATACCATTCGGGTATGGGTCTGGGTCTAGTTCCCGTCGATAATATATAAAGTAGGGTGCGGTATGTATAGAGCTTAGGCTCTAAAGAATCAAATTAGAACTTACCTTCAAATAGTGTTGAGAAATGTGGTTTCAATACTAAAAATTTTTGTGATAGCCTTAAAAAATATTTTATTTTTATTCATAAAATTTAAAACTTCAAAAATAATGTAGATCGACAAATCTATTAAAAACTTGAAAATTGACAGTCCAAAAATGCGTTACACAATATATTATTTTCAAAACTTGAAATCCATTTTTTTTCTAATATCCATGCATGTTGATGTTGAGATGATCAATTTGAGGATATTTTGGCATGAAAACAACCTCTTCTAGTGAAATTTTTGAGGTAGGCTCTAATTTGATTGTTTAGAACCTCGGCTCTATATAAACTTTTTAAAAATATAATTAAATGCATAGATATTTTTAGGTCGGGTCTAGATCCCATACAATATCTTCAGGTCCAGGTCTAGGTCCGGTGAATTCAGACTAGACTCGGACCCGACCCATTGCCACCCCTAACGGCCACTTGTCCTCACACATAATTGAAGAAAAAGCAATCAAATAGACCATTTACTTTTAGCACATTTGGAATTATTAGTTAGTTCTGAAATTTAGAAATCCCACATTATGTGGGATTGTGATTTATATTGATAAGTTTATTAAAGGAAATAGAATTTCAAAAGGATCAGGACTCTCGATATATCTCTTGGTTCTTAACTTTCCCTTCAGAGAGAAGAGAGCTTCCTATGGAGAGAAACTCTATATTTTGCCTCATGTAGATTGAGAGGCTGATTTCTTGTAGGCAAGTGGTTCTCATGAAGATTTTGGGTGATTTCCTCTTTTAGTTAGAGAAAGTCTTGATTCCCATGAAGGTGCTCCTCCTGGACAATGATTTAGTTGTGGAATGAAAATAGTATCTTCCTGAACATTGGTTTTGTTGTGGAATAAAGATAAGAGGTCGACGACAATGCCAATGGGGTGATTGGGTTTAAAAGGGTTTACTCGATTGGGTTTTATCGAGGGTTATAAAGGTAACTCTATGTCCTAAAATATGTAATGTAACTGTTCCATTAGTATAGTGGATTTCAATTGTCACTGTAGCCCTCTTGGGATGAACCACGTAAATCTTTGTTTTATTATGACTCAAGCTCTCGCGTATTTTTTTTTCTAGTTGAACCATTTTTTTTCTAGCTAAATAAGTACACGATTTTAAGATCCAACTTTGGGATTCTCGTTTTCGCATCTAAGGAGTTATTAAATCCTAACAAGTGGTATTAGAGCGCATGGTTTAGTACACGGCTAGTATTTGTGTATTCGGTTGAAGAAAAGCACATGGCAAAATATGCGAGCATCGGCTAACTCTGTGCCAGCAGCCGCGGTAAGACAGAGGATGCAAGCGTTATTTATTTGCGGTAAAGAAATATGATGGCAATAACAATTTTTCAGCAAGAATGATGAAATAGATTAAGAATTGATAAAGCTATCCAATGGATGTTTGTATGGTGAACAGGTGATTTTGATATTAAGGTGGAGGTTGTTAGATTTGATGATTATCCAAAATCACCCACTTAAAAAAACCCCATATTATGTGGGATTGAGATTGATATTGATAAGTTTTCTAAATGAAATAGAATTCCAAAAGAATCAGGACCCAAGATATATCTCTTGGTTATTGAGATCTGGATATATCTCTTGGCTATTGAGTTATATGTAACACAAAGGAAGTTTTTTATTCGGTGTGGACTCCTAACATGAACGGTGGTTTCTTCTAAAGAGAGAGAGGGAGGGGTATCCTGAGAGGCAAGGCCTCCCCTTCAGAGAGAAGATAGCTTGCTATGGAGAAAAACTCCATGTTGTGCCTCATGTAGATTGAGAGGCTGATTTCTTGTAGAGCAGTGGTTCCCATGAAGATTTTGGGTGGTTTCCCCTTTTAGTGAGAGAAAGTCTTGGTTCTCATGAAGGTTCTCCTCTTGGACAGTGGTTTAGCTTTGGAATGGAGATATTCTTTTCCTAGACAATGATTTAGCTGTGGAATAGAGATGAGAGATCGGTGATGGTGCCGATAGGAGACTGGGTCTAAAAAGGTTTATTGGACTGGGTTTGTCGAAGGTTATAGAGGTAACTTTATGTGCCAAAATCTGTAATATAACTTTCATTGGTATAATAGATTTCAGTTTACCATACCCGTGGATGTAGCCCTCTTGAGGTGAACCACATAAGTCTTTGTGTGGTGCCTGTGTTTTATGTGGGTTGAACCACATAAATCTTTGTGTGGGGTGAACCACATAAATCTTTCTGTGGTGCGTCTGGTGCATGTGTGGGGTGTGAACCACATAAATCTTTGTCTGGTGCGTGTGTTCTTGTGGTGCATGTGTTTTATGCTTTATTTATCATATTATGGCTCGTGCTCTCGCCTATTTTGTTTCTAGCTGGATAAGTACACGATCTTGGTAGGATTTAACTTTGGGATTTTTGTTTCTGCATCTAAAAGGTTATTAAATCCTAACTTATCTATCGGGTTTCAAATCAAGTGGTTTATATGATGGTTGTTGATTGGACTCAAAGTTCACAATTTCTTGAATTTTGTGATATATTTTAAACTATATAATTTTATATCTACTGGCAAGGAGCATTTATGACCTCCTTGTAAGATAGATTGTATATAATGAGAACATTTGTCTTTGTTATAAGAAAACGTATGCAAAGAGACTACTTACTTTTGGCATACCGAACTCACAAATCACTCTTTCGGTCATATTTTAAATTGGATTTTAAATTAGATAGCTGTAAGAGTGTCATTAACTAGACTCAAAGCTCTAAATAAAATTTTTCAAAATTTGTGAGGTATTCTAAGCCATCCAATTTCATATTTAATAGTTAAGAGTAATTGTGACCTTCTTGTAATAAAAATAAATGATTGCATAGTATGTTACAAGATTATATATGTTTACACGACAATAGTGTTCAAGTACATCCACTGTATCTACCGTTTGAAACCGACGATAGAAGGCGGATGTTAACCTTCACAATGACATCTGATTTTTCCGGTTAAACCAAACCATCCATTACCAAAGGTGAGGTGACAATCCTTGTGGTACATATCATACACAAGCGGCGTACAATTTTTTTTCTACATTAAAAGATGGGGTAATCATCGATTCCTTAGTTCAAAATGATTATTTGGTTTAAAGTTGCAGTGTTTTAAAAAGGGCTGGCTCGGGCTCATATTGGTGCAACTCTCAGGGTGCTAGGTCCCAATGAGTATCTAGAAGAATCCCGTGAATCTGACGCAACTCAAGAAACCGAATCCCCCGAGTCTGACCCAAGTCAATAAACCGAATCCCGCGAATCTGACCCAAGTCAATAAAACTCAGTCCAAAAGCCTCATATAACTTCTTTTGCAGGTATTTGGTTGGCGATTCGGCCTCCTCTGCCTTAAGCTTATATCATAGCATATCTGAGTATGAGTGTCAAATGCGGCAAGGTTTTACACTAGCTATCTACCCGATACAACCCATCTTCTTTACCAGGCTTATGGCAGGTTATTGAACGTTTTACACTAGCTATCTACCCGATACAACCCATCTTCTTTGCCAGGCTTATGGCAGGTTATTGAAAATTTAAGATCCTCACCCTTCTTGGACCAGCGTAAAACACATCTTCTTTACCCGGCTTAGGGCAGGTTATGGAAAGTTTAAAATCCTCATCCTTCTTAGACCAGCGTAAAATCTTAGGGCAGGTTATGGAAAGTTTAATATCCTCATCCTTCTTAGACCAGCATGCATGTGTATATGTTTATCAAATTAAACTGAATTAAAAGTACATGCAGGGTGAAACATAGCATGGTTTATAAGTGTTTTGCAAGGTTCACCAAATTATTATGATGAGTTGGAGTGGGACCGAATATTTACTGGAACTGTTCTCACAAAATGGAGTAGAGAGAAAATAGCGTCAACCGTAATTAAATGGTCCACCCAAACTAGGTCCAGGTCAAAATACAAAACTAGTGTCCAGTGTTTCAAAGCTCCAGTTGGGTTGACCCACTCGTCTCACATTGGCTCGGAACTGCTGGAGCCCGCACCAGTTCAGGTGATTTCCGCATAATGCCTGAAATAAAATTGTAAAAGAACTACGGCTAATTCTACGGAGTTTTGTGTTGTGCTTAAGGGGGTGGAGATACTTAGGGAGAGGAATTTGGGATCCATATGTTTGATCAAAGGAGATTCCTTGAATGTCATCCGATGATGGTGTAGAAAGGAATAGATGGTTCCCAAGGAATTACAATCCTTATGATTGAAGATTATGGATTTTACTTCGTGTATTTCTATTTGTTTCTCCCATGTCTACCATGAGGCTAATGGCGTTACTGATGCCTTAACTAAATGTGGTGTTTCTCTTGCCTCTCTTTATGTCTCCAATGATGTGATTTCCTTTGTGTGATCGATAAAAGTTATTAAACGTTGCTAACAAAAAAATGAAATAACCCATACAATACTCATTTTTGCTTTTTCTTTTCCTTTAAAAGGCCACAGTTTCTATGCGGCTAGCCCGCATATTGTAGAAATGCATGCTTGGCAAATAATATATTTTAAATATAATTTGATTCTAATTTTTAGAGTATATATAGTCTTTTAACACATTAGTTACACTTGTTTACAGATGGACCACCTGTTTGCATCCATCTTTAAGATGGATGCTTTATATCTTTGAACCCCATATTCTAACAATGCCGTCCAGCCCGCAAATAACAATCTTCCTTTAAAAGAATAAAACTGAACATGTAAATCATTTGGAAGTCAAACCTAAGGCTATTTTCGAAATATTTTAGAACATTTCTTTAAAAAAAAAAAAACCAACTTTTCAGCTTAGATTACTTTTTTTGATAAATTTTTTCACCTTAGATTTCGATCAGGGGTTTTGATCCAAAAAATAATTGTGAAAATCTTGTGGACGGATCAAAGGAATTTAAAAACAAATTACACAAAACAGATGTAAAATGGAGAACAAGCTAAAGAAGTCATTCTTCAAAACAAATGTTAAATTTTTTTGTTAAAAATAAGAACCAAGACAAAATATCCAAATCCATAGAAATGTTATTTGAAATGATGAAATAATTGCTGTAGATCTATAGAGAGCTCCAAAAATAAGATTTTGACACCTGAGAAATGAGTAAAATCGGGAATTTTGAACTACAATGAGCATTTTTTCACCTCTCGATCTCAGTCGAAATATGTCTTGAGCCAGAATACTTTTAGGGTTATATTTTTGTTAAAAATAAGAACCAAGACAAAATATCCAAATCCATAGAAATGTTATTTGAAATGATGAAATAATTGCTGTAGATCTATAGAGAGCTCCAAAAATAAGATTTTGACACCTGAGAAATGAGTAAAATTGGGATTTTTGAACTAAAATGAGCATTTTTTCACCTCTCGATCTCAGTCGAAATATGTCTTGAGCCAGAATACTTTTAGGGTTATATCAAGAATAAAAGAACAATTTGGAACACTCGAGAGAGTTTGGTGAACAAACGATAGAGGAATGAAAAATTTTATGTTTTGATTTGTAAAGATAAAAGAACATAGGAAAAACGAGAGACTTTGAAAGAATGACACGGTCATTTACCAAAGCCAGGTGAGTTCTAGAAAACTGGTCCGAGTCCCGATACCATAAGGGGGCCTCAGACCAGTACCCCTAGGTTCCTATCCAACTCGGGCAATTCCACAATCTGGACTGGTCAAACATTAAACAAAACTCTTTAACTCCTACCCAGTTGTTATAGCCATTGAAAGAACAAAGAATAGTCTCCAGTTCCCTCAAATCGTTCACATTTTCACCAGGTAACTTCAAACTCAAACATGGGCCACACACCGGACTAAAAGCATCCAGACCTTTGCCTCTGAAAATTAGAAAAGCAAAAAGTTCCAGCTTTTTTATACAACGACATTTCAATAGTACAAAGTCATCGAACCACCCAATAAATAAAAGGTGAAAAAAATCTGCCCCTCCCGCTCCCCCCGCCCCAACACTAAGTGGTCCCTCATACTCTACCGAGGTTGAAAGATCAGAAGACATCCTCTCTCATTTTCTCCTAATTTTAACTTTGAGTGTCCAAAGCACCTTCCCCTCTGGTAGTGGAATTACCTTTGGCAGCCTGAGTGGCACCTCATACTCTCCCAAGGTTGTAAGATCAGAAGGCATCTGCAAGTTTTCAGGTTGGATGCTAACGCACAACTGTCTTGCCACCTGATAAACCAAAATACAGGACACGTAAACCTAATCTCTCGACATATATTCTATCAAGAATCAATTTGAGAGTAATTGAAAGACACTGAAGAAAGCTATATCAGATAGCAATTTCCATTTTGAAAATCAATCCTATGATTCTGATGTTGTACTTTAGAGTGAGAAAGTTATGAAGGGAAAGCTCCTTCCCCCCCCCCCCCAACTCCCCTATAATCAGGAACAACTGGGAGTGGTGGTTTCTATTTCACATGATATGCACCTATATTCAGAAAAGTGGTATTAGCCAAAAAAAGAAAATAAGAGAAACAGAAGACAAAGGGAAGTTTGAGAAAATATCTGAAAAAACAGAAAAATTCACAATAATCAAAGTATTCTGAAAGGGTATTTTTTTTATTGAAAAATGACAGTTTTTCACAATAACAACCATTATTTTTCAGACAGTTTATATAAGGGCGAGGCCCTAAACAATCAAATTAAGACGCACCTCAAAAATTCATTAGAAGAGGTTTGTTTCGATGCCCAAAAATCCTCAAATTGATCATCTCAACCTCAAGATGTACAAACATGAAAAAAAAAATGGATTTCAAGTCTTGGAAATAGTGCATCTTGTAATGCATATTTGGAACGTCAATTTTCAATATTTTCAAGTGTACATAGATCTGCTCCATTTATACTATTTTTGAAGCTTCAAATTTTATAATTAGATATGCAAATAAATTTTCAGGCCATCATAAAGATTTCTAGTAATGAAACAACATCTTTTGACACGATTTGAAAGTGTGCCTTACTTTGATAGTTTAGGGCCACAGCCTTATACAAACCACACCCTTATTTTTCTGATAGTCTAAATATAAATACTGTTATTTAAGTTTTCATGTTGTTTCTCATATGTAAGACCTCAAACCCGGCATAATGGCTTTTATAATGGATAAGACAGCTGAAACTTTGGTGTAATGGCCATTTTATTCAACCCCCCAGTGGCATTAAATAACGTAATGGATGGATGCTGATACCCATCAATCGGCTGTTAATGAAACGACCGTAAATTTCAACCCAGTCCCAAAGGCACACTAAAGAGGGGTAAAATGACCATATTACCCATCATTTGTTTGAAAGAAATCCCCACCCTTTCTCTCTCTCACACACACTCTCTCTCTCCTCCTCTCTAAAAGTTTTCACAAATTGATTTTAAACTTATCAGCAAAGAATGCATATTATCTTTTTTGTCTTTTTTGGACAAACAACAAGAATACCTTAATTCTTTATCGAAAGGTATATGATATCAGAACAAATCCATCCAAATTGCAATGAAAATAGAAATGAGCATACCTCAGCCACAAGCTCCTCCTTTGTCACAGGTACACGCAAATCATTGTCTACTTTGATAAGCCTTCTTAAACCCTAAAAGAAGCCAATGCCCAACATATTCAAGCACATATTAAGGAGTGTCAACTTCTGCTGGTGAAAAGATGCAACAGCAATAACTTTGCAAGCCAAAAATGCAAGGAAATAGGATATAAATAAAGGCCTAGAAGATGCAATTCTTGTCTCCCACAAATCATGAACCGAAGCAAACTAGCTTTATTTTGCTGTGATGCTAATCAGGTTTTGCGGCAATTTGTACACAAGCAGGATTCTAAAAGGAAAGGAGAAAAAAGTATAGCGAAAGAGGTCCAGCAGTAGCATAGTAAAAAAAAGCTTCGCTAATAGCACTTGCACAACTATCTTGCTAAGAGATTAGATAACAAAAATATTACTTAATTTCATTGAAAATAAATTTTTTTTACATTAACATTAAATTTATTACTAAAATAGATTACAAAAATAAATAAAAAATAAAAACAAAGGCCAATAGATGCCAAGACATCTCACAATTCCGACAATAAAATTGCATCAAAATGGAATGATTCTTGAGGAACTCCTTCATTGGCAGAAGTACCAGCCTCTTGGTTCGCTCCCCTAAGAACGAGCACAAAAGTTCTGCCTTGTGTCACAAATGTCGAAGGCTGCTTAAAATATAAAGGATGTTATGTCCAAAAAGTCCCTTTTTCTTCTTTTGTTAGATCAGCTAAATTCTCTCTGATAGAACCCCCTATTTTTTGGTAAGAATAATCAGAATATAAAAGCCCTTTCCAAATTTTTCACTAAGTCTCCTTTTTTGTGCTTAACACTGAGTTCTTCATTGTAACAAATTAATTTTTTAAAATTAGCATTGAGATAAAATATACAAGACAATTTTAAGGAGATGTGCACATGATTTTTTTTTTTTCCTTGGCCATCTTTATCAGTGTATTTAGAAAACAAATCAAAGAGGTTTTTAAGTACAGAGATTTTAAGGATGAGGCTGAGAAAGAGAGAGAGGGAGAGATTAAAGTAAATTTGGAAGAAAAAAAGTGTGGAAAGAAATTTAAAATAAAATCCACAATCGTATTTATTCTCCCTTGTAGATTAATAATAGAATATTTAGAGATCTGTCCAAGTGGAACTTATAATACTAAGTAATCCACAACTACAAATTAAATTACTACACAACTGTCAAAAGGAATGGACGGTGCTGGCAAGAGTTTGAATGATAGAATGGGACATGACTACAAATGGTTGATCACACTCTCTTCATCGCTGTCCATCATTTCACAAGACAGTGATGACCACAAGCCTTCCATAGCCCATGGGATAGTCATGAGACACATAAACCAGCATAGGAATGAAAATGCTGGCCGCTTACCAGTCGACCTTTAGCTAAGCGATTTGCTGCAGCTTGATACTCTGTCATTTTGTCTTCCTCTGTCCTAGGAACTTCCTTCACAACCTTGACCTCCTCAGGTTGGTGGAGCTGATCAAAACAAGTCAAAATAGATAAATTACTATGCAATGTCACATTATCACAAATATGGGTCTTACCTATTTTATAGGAAAGAAAGCCAAGGCAGAACTTAGTTGCCTACTAAGTTGATGATTGCCACAGCACAACCCAAGTTAAAATTCATACTGCTGAATGACCAAAATAATAATAATAAAATAAAAAATACATGTAGAAACTAAAGATAAAGGAGGAACACATGTATTTAATTGTGTATACTGCAGTCTTGGTGATGCATAATCTGAAACTTCCCATGACATAGCAATTTAAGTGGTTTATAAGAGAAAGGCGGCAGTAATCAGAAAACAGATATCACAACAGCAAAAATGTTGTATGATTTGAAACTTAAGCATTTGATACGTATCGAGCGATAGATAACCTCTATCAATTCGTTTTCTATAAAACCAAACAACTTCAGAACATTAAAAGCCTCATGTATTGAGAAATAGATATTAGTCCATCTAATTAGCAGAACACATCTTAAATCTTCAGGGATATAAATCTTCACAAGAGTGTAACCAGCTCATTTTACCAACACCTAATGGCTAGGATGCAATTCAAATTCACATCCTATTGGGATTTTCCCATACACATTATCAAAAAAGTAAAGGTACAACACATCAAATATGTGATCGCCAATGCAAAAACACAACACATATATGACAAATTTCATGTCAAGTACAACAATAAGGAACACATATTGCTTTTCCGATAGGGAGAGAGTACATCCCTCTGATAAATGACCAAGTAACCTCAATAGCATTCAGAGAGAGATATAACAATAAGACACTTCTAAAGAGTCATCAATCTAAAAGAGTCCGCTATGAACCAAATCATATTGCATAGTGTTCTGCCCATTTGATAACAATTAGATATAGTGGCCGACGATCACGATATAAGAGAATAACTGCACGGCCACAAGAAAGGCTCAAACTTCAGCAACATTAAAATCCTGACACCCTAGAGATCTTACATGTGGATTCAACACTATGCTTCCCTCCTTATCAACCTCCCATACATAAAGGACCATGGTAATCAAAACAGCTCCATCCAAATTTAGACTTTAATAAGCCTTTAATCACCAGTAGCATTTAGATTTAGGTATGACTTTCACAGCTTTGTTTAATGATACATTTTCAAACCCATACGAATTACCAAGTCATCCACCCTAATGCCACTACTACCAGAACTGATGCCCATTAAACTCTCATGTTCCTCACCTATGTCCTTACCTAATTTGTTGTGGCCAATCTTCCAACAACTGGATAAGAATATCCATCTGCCAAGACGCGCTACCACTAACAAGGAAACCAAGAAATGTCAATTGCCAGGTAAGTCTATAGAATTCCCCATTTCTTTAATTTTTCTTTTCTTTTTTGAATTAATTGACTGCTTAAAAGGACAAAAAGTAGTACAAAAAGATTGCATGGTAGCCCACAAGATGGTGCTCTGTACAAATTAAGATTAGAACTCCGTATAGTATCCAAAAGATTTTGTACAAGAAAAAATACAAACAGCAGCCAATCTAGAGAGAGGAAGAAACGAGGACTCTGGCTCCATCTGCTGCAAAAGATGCCAAAAAGGTCCGGCTAAGCATCCCAAGAAAGCTCCTTTGCGAGGCTATCTGCTGCCAAATTTGACTCATGCCACGTGGGTCGCCAAAAGATTTGCATAGGCCTGCAAATTGCGAAAATTTCATAAAAAATGTGCCCCAATCTCCACAGATAGAAAGTTGCACCTGAGGTCCACAAGATAACATTTATGGAGTCCTTGATCATCAAATTTGGGTCCCAAGCCTCGTTAAACCTTCTGAGGCCCTCGAGAAGGCAGTAGCCTCAGCCATGGAAGAGTCGGCGTGATCAATGGATCTCGTGAAAGATAGCAAACTGTTGCCCTCAAGGTCTCTGAACAGCCTCCAATGCCAGCTGGACCTGGGCTGCCGAGGGAGCAACTGTCAAAATTTACTTTGGTTTGGCCTTTTTCCAGTGGTCTCCAGACTCTCCACATAGAGAAGTGAGGGATTTGCAGCAGCCTAAAGTTGAGCAAATCCTACCAATCTTGAAAGAAAGCTGAGGTGGGGTGATGGCTGAAGATTTTGTTGTACTTAACCCGAAAAATGGTGAGTGCTTTGATGTGATCTTTGAGAGCATAGGGGGTAGCCTCCTTCCGTTTAAAGATCTTGTTGTTCCTCTCAGTCCAAAACCACCCACAAAGTTGTGGCTACAGCTGCATACCAAAGGAAGATGACAGACCTTAAGCACTGCAGGTCATCGAAGGAAAGGAAATGATGCGGGACAGATTTGAGGGTCACCCACCTCCAGTTGAATAGCTGTAACAAGAATCCAGAGACCCCAGATGACATCAAAATGAAGGAAAATGTGTTCATTGGTTTCCTCTGCTTCTTTGCATATGATGCATCTGTTAGCGCTCGGCATACCCCTCTGACAGAGTTCATCAACTGTGAGGGCTCTCTAGGACAAGGCAATCCAGCTGAAAAATTGGATCTTTAGAGGGATGGAAGAGACCCAGGCACGAGAAGTAACAGAGGGGGAGTAGGGACAAGCGGGAGGCTGCAGCAATCTTTTAGAGAAAGGGGAGACCAAGAAAGTCCACAACACCGCAGGTAACCAAATGAGTTTGTCACTGCCTGAGATGGGAAAGAAATTGGATTGTAGTAGGGAGGAAAGGGAAATAAATTCTGGGATCTTGCTGTCCATAAAGAGGGTGTCCAAAGTTTGGACACCAAACCTCGAGGAACCCAGCAATTGGAAATGATCTGCAACTACTCCCTGAGGATCGCAAACAATAAGAAATAAAGTGTGGAATCTCTCTTTAAGTGTGGAGTTCCTCATCTATAAATCCATCCAAAATCTAGCTTTGTCGCATTCTCTTTCCCTGAAAACAAGTTTGTAACTGGTTATCCGTCCAAAACAAGTTCGTAGCTGGTTATCATTCTTCGCCATGCCCATGAAAACATGGAACTGGTAACACCTTGAGATAGCCAGGCTGAGGTCTCGCATGGATATTTATGGCGAATAATCTCCCGCCAAAGGTGGGTCTCTTGAGTAGCAAATGGCCGCCGCCACTTTCCAAGTAGGGCTAGGTGCACTTACGAAGGCCCATGATACCGAGCCCCCCCTCTATGTGGGCAAGCAAACCTTGTCCCATGCTATAAGAGATACCTCTTTTTTCCTCCCTCTCCTGACCATAGGAAATTTCTCATGAGTCTTTCTAAGCGTGTTACTATCATTATGGGTATTTGGATTGGAATAAAGCAGTGTTTCAAAAAGCGCTAGGTGACACCTAGGCAGTCGGGACGGTCCAGACCGCCCAGCACCTAGGCAGGTGCCCAGAACCTAGGCGGCCCAGTAGATGTACTCAATATAAAATTAACATTCCTCAATTTAATACTATTCAACCAATAAAAGAGAAAACATACATCAGTACGGATGATACTACTACTGCTAGTACACACCCTCTGGAGAAAAGTATAATACTAAAGAGTGTAATAACCCCATTAAGCACAGGAGAACCACCACAATCCCTATAAGATATTATTGCAACACCATATAAAGTTCTACCAAAAAAAATACGTAGAAAACAAGAGCTAATACCTCATATAGTAGAACAAAACAATTATACCAATTTAATAAAACTAAATTTCATATCGGAGAAGATAATAAAACATTAATGGACCAATTAATATCTAAATTAGCCCAATTAGATATAAAAGGAATTCCTTCTCCCAAACTTAGTATTCCTATACCAATACCCAATATTTCTGTACCTTTACCTACTATCCCAGAATCTTCAGATTGAGGAAAAACAAAGATTCCAGAGCATGAGACTATGATGCTCCAAGAAGAGGAACCAGTTATAGAAGATACCATACAAAACCAAGAATCTGCTTTTATGGATACTTCACCCATTGATGTAAATAGGATAGCACATGGAAACCAATCACAGTTTTACCATACTATAAGAGACCTACACCTGTTGACGTACAACTCAAAGAAGATGCCATACAACAGGCTGTTTCCTATTCAGGAAGATCAATAGTCAACTGGACAATAGATGGTTTATCAGAATTAAAAATACTAGATGTCATGAGACATATGACAATGTTTGCTTTAGTAAACAAAATGGCAGGCAATCCAGACCAAGAGGTTGCCAAAGCAATAGTGAATGGATTCACTGGCTGGTTAAGAGGCTGGTGGGATTTCTATGTTGATGATGAAACCAAAAACAGAATCCTCACCAATACAAGACAATGGACCGCCAGAAATGAACAAAATCAAGAGATAATTTATACTAAAAGTGATGCAGTAAACACCTTAATATATACTATTACGCAACGTTTCGTAGGAAGTACAGCCCTATTAGCAGCAAGATCAAAAGATCTGCTGTTCAACCTTCGCTGTCCTACTTTATCCCATTATAAATGGTATAAGGATGTCTTTTTCTCAAGATTACTTATACGAGAAGATTGTCAGTTAGACCATTGGAAAGAAAAATTTATTGCTGGTCTACCAAACCTATTTGCAGAAAAAGTCAAAGAGAGACTAAGAAAGAAACATAATGGAGTTATCATATACTCTGCATATACACTTGGGGAATTATCAGCAGAAATATGTGCTGAAGGATTAGCCTTATGTACTGATCTTAAACTCAAAAGACAACTTGATAAACAATAAATTACCAAGCGTAAAGAACTTGGTGATTTTTGTGAACAATTTGGTTATCATTTAGATAGAAAAAATAATAAATCTGAAAAGTTATATAAAAAAAAAGAAAAAATATAAGAGAGAAAAATATAAATCAGATAAAATACATAAAAAATATAAAAAATCTACACAAATTTATACAAAAGTTTTCTCCAAATGCTAAACATAAAAAGAAACTTCCAGTATGTTATAAATGTGGAAAAGTTGGCCATTATAAACACCAATGCAAATTAAAAAAGAAAATAGAAGCATTACACCTAGATGAATCAATCAAATCAAAATTATATAATATAATCAATTATGATACAACCTCCTCAGATTCTACTGAATCACTTATAGGAAATATCCAAGATGACGACCTAATATGGACAGAGTCATCTGATTCTTCTACTGATACAGAATCATCTCATCAAATGAAAGAATCCACTTGTACTTGTCCTATACCCTCACATAACCTTCATATGCTTACCCAAGAAGATAATTTAATCTTAGATCTCATAGAAAAAATTACAGATCTAGAAGAAAAAAGATCTATGATTACCAAATTTATTAATTTAGCTAAAACAAAAGCAAAAACACCTCCTATTAGTAAAACACCTGATGAATATAATTTTGCCTCTATTATGAAAAGAGTTAGTGAACAACATCTTACTAAACAAAAAGAACCTTCTATTTCATAACTAAAACATGAAATCAAAGAAGTTAAAAAAGAGGTCCATCAATTAAAAAATAGAATTAAAATACTAGAATTACAAAATTTATCTCACCAAAATTCAGATACAGATGAAATTGACTTCAATCATCTAGTCACAACATATAGTCCTGATCCACCAGAAGATATACCAGAAACCTCAGAAGCTAAACCACTTCTGATCACAGAACAAACTTCTTCTGTGAATCTGATAGATAAAATTATGATTCAAAAATGGTTTGTTCAAGTCACTATTATAGTTGTTGAAGATTATCGATTTCAAACTTCAGCTCTAATAGATTCAGGTGCTGATCTAAATTGCATCAATGAAGGATTAGTACCAACAAAATATTTTGACAAAACAACTCAAATCCTAAATACTGCAGATGGCAGTAGACTCTTTATAAATTATAAATTATCTAATGCTTCTGTTTGTAATAATCATCAATGTATTAACACACCATTCATCATGGTCAAAGGACTAAGCCAAGCCGTTATTCTTGGAGTCCCATTTCTTACATTACTATATCCCTTATCGATAGATCAGACATGAATATCTTCTAATTATCAAAATGTCCCAATACATTTTGATTTTATTCATAAACCAAAATTAAAAGAAATCAATAGTGTCAAAAGTCAATTACAAAATAAAGAAAAATTTCTTTGTACGTTAAAACAAGAAATTAAATATAAATATGTTAAAGAACAAATATAGAATCCTTTGATCCAACAAAAGATTCAATACATGCAACAACAGATAGAAACCTCTATCTGTAGTGAGCATCCCAATGCTTTTTGGGAAAGGAAAAAACATAGTATTAGTCTACCATATGAACCTGGATTTGATGAAAAACAAATCCCTACTAAAGCTCGACCAATACAAATGAATACTACTTTATTAGACATGTGTCGCAAAGAAATTACCAAACTCCAAACAAAAAAGCTTATAAGACCGAGCATCACCATGAAGTTGTGCAGCTTTCTATGTCAATAAAAAAGCTGAAAAAGAACGAGGAGTTCCAAGATTAGTCATTATTTATAAACCTTTAAAAAAAGTTTTACAATGGATCAGATATCCTATTCCGAATAAAAAGGATTTACTAGATCGAGTAGCCAATGCTTGTATATTTTCTAAATTTGACATGAAGTCAGGATACTGGCAAATACAAATCCAAGAAAAAGATAAATATAAAACAACATTTAATGTACCCTTTGGACAATATGAATGGAATGTAATGCCATTTGGCTTCAAAAATGCTCCACCAGAATTTCAGAAAATAATGAATGATATATTCAATGCTTTATTATCAATTCATGATAGTTTATATTGATGATGTCCTGATTTTTTCTGAATCTATAGATGAACATATTAAACATATTCACATTTTTATTCATGCATCCAGAATGCTGGTTTAGTTGTATTTGCAAGAAAGATTACTTTATTCAAAACAACTATTAGATTTCTAGGACATAATATCCATAATGGTACTATCATTCCCATAGATAGATCCATACAATTTGCTGATAAATTTCCTTATCAAATACTAGATAAAAAAGAACTTCAAAGGTTCTTAGGATGCCTAAATTATGTTAGTGATTTCTATCCCAATATTGCTATAGATGCTAAGCCTTTACATGATAGATTAAAAAAGAATCCTCCATCTTGGACGGATATTCATACCAATGCCGTCGGAATAATCAAACAAAAAGTCAAAACTCTTGTTTGCCTTTCTCTTCCTCATCCTACTGCTTTCAAAATAATTGAATGTGACGCCTCAGAGTTGGGATTAGGGGGCATCCTCAAACAACGAATAGATGGTCATGAACAACTACTCAGGTACACCTCTAAAGCTTGGAATCCAACCCAACAAAACTATTCTATGGTCAAGAAGGAATTACTTGCAATTGTCCATTGCGTTACAGAATTTCAAAGTGATATTCTCAATCAACAGTTTCTTACGCCAAAGACATTCTGCAAAAAGATGTTCAAAACCTTGTTGCCAAACAAATATTTGCTCGCTGGCAGGCTATCCTTTCTGCCTTTGATTTTACTATTGAACACCTTCCCGGGTCTTCTAATTCTCTGCCTAATTTTTTAACACGTGAATTTTTGCAAGGGGGGCAACACTGACGCCAACGACGACACACCACTATCACTTGCACTACAGCTCTTTGCAGCTAATCAAAATAATAATTTGTGCAATCCACCTACTCTTATGGGCTCTCGTAGCAATTCTTCTCGCAATGAGAAACGCCCTTTGACAATAATACCATTTGAATAATTGAGACAGAATAGGAGTATGCAAATGAAAGGTATGACTGATATATCTATTACTAACCACTGTGTGTGGTTGTGATTGCCTATTTTGATACTAAATACTATTTTGATTTGCATCAGATAGTATCACACTCTTACATCAATTTGTACAGAGTAGTTTATTGGAAAGAAGACTGTAAACATTCGCTTATACAACCTGTATACAAATAAACAGAATACAAACTGTAAAAGTACTAAAACAAACTTACATACAAACTTACTGTGTACATATGCAGTAACTGGAAAAGAGTTTCCAGTGTTGAGGGCAATATGAAGGGAGAGAGTGAAGATTACAATCACACATGCTAAGAATATTTAGAAGGAGGAGAAGATAGAACCTGGAATTTAAAGTAAATTTTGTGACCTGGTATTCATGAGCTATGAGGTCAGGATAGCTATTGCAGTAGATGGAGCAAGTAGAAGATAGAAGAGTAGAAGATAGAAGAGTAACTTCTTGAAGAAGTTAGATAAGAAGAGAAGTTCAGAGAGGAAGAGAGAAATTCTGAAAGAGATCAGAAGAGAGAACTTCTGAGAAGGAGCTCCTGAGCGACCTACCTTCTTTGAGGAAGGGGAAGGCCTTATGCAATTATAATGGCATATCCATTACTACCACGCACC